GTGTGAAACAAACAGCGTCATCGGTAAAGTCCGAATCTCGAATCAGTGATTCGAATGAGTCGGTTCGTTTTAGTGAATCAAAACATACAGCGCAACCATTGTAGTCCGACACCAGAACGAATTAATTCATGAGTCGGTTCTCTCTAATAAATCATATACAGCTCACTGTGTCAGTACTGACTGGTTGTTCAAATGGCAAAAGAAAGACATAATCATAAAAAAGGGTATTTTTTTATTATAAAAGGAACAAACAATTCAAAATGCAATACAATTATAGAAAATATAAGATACAGATAAAGGGGATCAAAATCCAATAAAACAGACTATAACTGACATACAGGTATGCAGATTATATGGAAATGTTCAAGGAAAGGGCCACACACACACACACACACACACACACACACACACGTCTGGTTTGCTATCCTTGTGGGGACTCTCCATAGGCGTAATGGTTTTTCTACTGTACAGACCCTATATTCTATTGCCCCACACCAACCCTATGCCTCACAGGAAACTTTCTGCATTTTTAGATTTTCAAAAAACTTAATTCTGTATGATTTATTAGCATGTTTACCCGTGGGGACCTCAATTTATATCCCCACCATGACACGAGTCCCCATGAGTCTGTGTGTATTCAAGTCCCCACCAGAATAGAAAAACAGGTACACACACACACACATACACACACACAAAACACCTTTATATTAGAATTTCATATAGTCATTTTACATATATAGGCATGTAGCAGACGTTTATTAATTACATTTAACAGTATATTGTATATATTTTAAGGAAACTGGCATACAGAGAAAAGGGTGTTACCACTGATCTATAATAGAGATATATAGATGAGTGGGTGTTACTCAGCAATCTGCATTAAGAGAAAAACTGCACCATTTTTGTCCAGCAGGAACTATCTATGATATAGCCTACCCTACAAGATCCTACCCTACAAGATCTTACAGAGCTACAAGAGCTACTGATTTCCACATTGAGGTTTTGACCTTTACTCTCAAAATAAAGGAGCAGTTCTAGACATGATCTTTTGTAAAAGATGTTTTATGATTTATGCTTATGAAGTTTGACCTTTTTACCTTTAGTGAACCTCGGCAAAAACCACACAACACAAATAAAAGCAAAAAGGCATAGTTACCATGACCAGAACATCATTAAAAAAGAAATGTATCACAAAAAATATTTAACGTCTTGTGACGACACGTGCGTACACCACCTCATCCTCCTCTTTCTGAAAGAAATACAAATACAAAAGACACAAAATGCTTTAGTATAATAGCAAGATGTTTCGATTTTTTTTTTAAGAACCGTCTTTAACATTAAAGAAAACCAAAGAAATCCTCTCATACCACAACACTCACCACTTTTAAAACACACTTGAAAACATATTTTTCACACATGCATGCATGTTCAAGAGAGACAGCCAGGCTGTAAATTCCACTGTAAATTCTCCTGAAGTAATTAAATTAAATATACTTCAAATTTTCACATATTAAAAATTTCTATCTTTGGTTACCCTGATTAAAAAAAAATCTTAAAACAGCCTCAAGTGGTTAGCTGGTCAAGAGCTGAACATCATCTTAACATGAAACACACATGAATCAGCTGCCCATCAGAAAAACATCATTATTATTATTATATTTTCAGCAGGGTGTAGCTCATTAGTTTAACATGAGTCAAATGAATAACTAATATGGAAGAGCTTAAAAAACTAACATCAAGCATCTATTTCAAATAGAACATAAAGATATGCTGGAATTACACCTCAGACCGCAGTAAAAAAGAAAAAAAAAGGGCCTTGTTATGCACAATCAAAATTTTATGTTTCTCTCATATCACTGTTTTGACAGCAGTCATTTTTAGTTAATATAACATATTAATGTTATATTGAAAATTTGACTCTAAAGTAATATTTCTAATGAAGGCTGGAATATTCACACTCTTATACACACTCTTTTTCTCTCACAGACCATTTCTTTCACAGACAGTTCTGTCTTCACAGTGTTTTGTTCCGGAAGTCCACAGTTTCCTGTGGAACTGTTTAACAGTGTCTGTTTTATGCAGAAACACCTTGAGCTATAACGTTTTTAACAGTAGAGTATGAACCCTTATTTTGTAGAAAGTACACTATATTTGTGCCGTTTGCCAATAAATAACATTTTATTTTCAAATGGCTTCACACTGTACACACTTGTGCTATTTTAGTTTGTTGCATATAACACATTTGTCTGAATGCCACAGAATGCCCAGTGGAACTTTTTTTTATTAGTATATAGTCTATCACTGCCATATACAGTAAATGTCTGTACAGTTGGTTAACGTCAGTGGTGCCTGTTTAATTGTAACTACATTGTCTGTCAACAGCATGGACCTGTTAACATTTCAAAAAGCAGAATATTAAATACCCACATTTTGAATGTTACTTTTGCAATAAACCAACCAACCATTTTTAAAAAATGGAAAACTGGAAGTGACACTATTTAACAATTAAAACATAAAATTGCAGGTAAATAAATAAACAAATAACTTTTTAATAGACATTTTAAACAATCTATGTATTTCTAGTTTTAAAATGTAGTTAAATAAAATTATAAAACAATAAATAATGAATAGACATTTAAAACGGTTACTTCAAAACATTTCTACATAACTAAAAAAAAAGTAAATTAGTAAATATTTTTTTATTAAAGCACATTTTAAATTGCATTTAAAGGACATTTTTACTGATTGACAGGTTCAACAAGATTAGTGGTGGGCTTTAGGGATAAGTACAAGTAACATTCCAATAAGTTAGTATCCATTTATGATTTCAAAACACATCACGCTAAATATGTAATTATATGAAATACTGCTGGCAAACAATATATGCCACAATACAGTATAAATATCATTTATAACACATTTACACAGTGCAAAGGAATTCTGTTTTTGCTTGCACTTAGTGCAAACACCCTTTGCCTTTTATTTATCTATTTGTCAATATAATTAAAAAAATGCTATAGGACAGTTCACTCATGGGGAAAACTAATCAAACTTTGACTCAATTTTAAGAAGCACCCTCTCTCCCATGTGCCACTCAAAGTAGATGTAAGATGGACTGTAAATAGACTGTAAGAAAGACCATCCATGCGGTCAGGAAATCTGTTTTTAAAATTACTTTTAAAAATTTTTTTGTGAGACTTAAATTACAATAATACAACAACGTCTTTCAACAACTTAGTCCATTAGCAGTTAGCCACTATAGCTATCACCAGCAGCTACTGGTGAATAGCTGCTATTGAAAAGTTGAGAAAACTGATGAAGATGTGCTACCAGCAGTTAAAACTGTCACATTTCAAGTTAAAACATGAGTAGCTCATGTCGCGATATACAAGAGAAGCTGTCTTAATGCACTGCCTTAACATGAAATGTGTTAAAATCTTAGCTAGCATATCAGTGGTGGATCTGGGGACACTCTCCTAAGGCATAGTTTTAAGATGGGAAGCTATAATTACTATGACAAATGAAAATGAATGAATAATTACATAATAATTACAAAAGTACATTTATGGGGACAGGCAATGTTATAATGTTATTTTTTGTTTTTTTTATTTAAATGAGATAAAAGTGATTTCATATTTAAAGGCAGATTTTCTAATACTGACTGAAGTGTTTCTTCCACATTTTCTCACATTCAGATTAGCAGATCTCTCTTCAGCTTTTAGTACAGGAAACACAAGCATTTAGCAGGTAGTTTAACAGTGTTCGTCTTAGCAGAAACACTCTGAGCCCCAACACATGAACTGTTTACAGTTATTTTTGTGTGAAAATCTAACCTAATTTTTCTCTCTGGCATTTTGGACATCTAACAACTGTTAAGATTATTTTTCTGCATTACTATTGCTTGTAAGAGTCAAAGTAGTAGTAGTTATGTTTATTTGTGAATAGTGAATTGATAGTAAAAAACCTTTAAGCAATCTTCCAGAATACTGTAAGTCTGTAGGGGATGTCATGATACAATAAATATTATTTTTCATTATTATATTGTGTTGGATCTTTACATAAGTTCAGAAGTCAGATGTGTTTTTGTCCATGTTAACGGCTGTGGGGTTTGCTGCAGTTCAGATACAGTAGCTCTTTTCAAAGCTTAGTGATCTAGCCCAACAGTACTTTAAAAGCATCACAGCAGCACTCGTGACATGAAGGGTGTTCTTACAGTATAGGCAGCGAAGCTTTTATTAGATGCCTTGTTTGGGCCAAATGCTAAAAGAACATCACACTTATCTTTTGATAAGGCAGTTGAGTGCTTCACATCATGAGCATTTTTTGTATAACAGCATTAGTTCGATCAAATCAGTCCATTTCTGTTCGAATGTCACTGTGTAGACAGTGAAGCAGCTCACTAGTGTTCAGAACTGAGCATCGTGTTTTCTTTTCATTGCCCTCTCCAGCTTTTTATTTACACTGAGTTGCAACCAAATAAAAATGATTATATAAAACTATTATATAACCTCCTGCTTAATCATACAATGTTTGTACAGTGTACCTCTAACAAGAATGATCTTACCACTTTATGTGCATTTCTTTTGAAGAACGTTGGATCAGCATAAGTTACATCATCATGGGTCTGAACTGTTTCAAGAATAATGGCAGAAATGTTAAAACAGCAAAACTCTTACATTTTGTACTGATATCAATAGGTTTATGGGAAACACTTGCCCTGTTGATGTGTTTCTTTTTGTTTCTGGCAGATCCAGAAGATCCAGATTGCAGCTACTATCAACAGAGATCCAGCAGCAGCAGCAGAGATCAGTAAGAGTATGTTCAATAAGGGTATAAATGGTTCTGTAATGGACAACATGTCAGATCAATAACAAAAACTTTGAGGCATTAGCACTATATAAACATAATGTAGGTCTGAAACTGTAATGATAAAAAGAAACAGTCATAGTGTGTATTTACATATGTATGTGTAAAGGTGTACAAAAACGCAAGTGACATACCTGCACATGTGTGACAGAGTTTGCTGATGTCCAGATGTGTGGTCTCGTTGCTGATGGGATTGTTGAGCACACAGCTGTAGGTGTTTTTCTCCTGATATTCCACCTCCAGAGGTAGAGAGAGACTGATGCTGAGATCAGACACACTGATGCTGGACAATAAACTGTTTCCTTTGTACCAGGAGAGAGTCACATGACTCACATTCACCACTGAACACACCAGTGAACAATTCTGCTGTGATGATGACGATGATGAACAATGTGAAGAGTTTCTGGAGATAACAGGAACAGGAAGACGAGCTGGAAAACAGGACAAAATAAACAGAAATAAAGATGAAGTGAAATAATCATACAGAACTGAACTTCAGCAGCAGTGGATATCAGCACTATTAGAGATACTGAACCTGGAAGATGTGAAGCAGTTTTTGGGCCCAGGATCTGGGGGTTGGTTGTGGGTGCCACTGAATGGATTGATTAGACAAATTAGACAGGTCATATAAGTTTGATGAATTCTGCAACCCTATTATAAACTTACATGAAATAATAATGAACATTAGTATGTTTATTAATACAAACAAACATTAATACAAAAAGTGCATTGAAAACTGATCTATTGCCTATTCTCATTTCAAACATAAAAACATCAACTACAGCAGGCTATAAAGATGATTTAGTATTATTTACAATATGAATATGAAAGGGACAGATTACATTAATTCTCTACTTACCATAAACATTAACATTAAATTTCTTGATAGTCTCCTGATTCTTAATAGTGATAGTTAATTGATAAAGTCCAGAGTCTGTGATTCTGGTGTTTGTGATGGTCAGAGATCCAGTCTGATCCAGCTTCAGTCTGTCTCTGAATCTTTCGTCATTATCATATAGAGGATCATTCCTGATTGCTTTCTTTATTCTAGCTATACGTAGTTCTACAAAACTCCACTCGATCTCATCATATGTGTGTATACCGTTAACATCACAGTGTAGAATTATAGAATCTCCCTTCTTCACTGAAACGGACTTCACTTCATTTGTCTCAACACCAACCACACCTGGAGAACAATAAGTAACAATTAGTTTATTGTTGTTTAACCAGACGTTTTAGATTTTTCAACATTTAAAACGGAAATGTAATGTACAGCTTCGTAGTATTTTGACTTGAAAATTAATTTTAAGATTATAGAAAGACATACATCACATAACAGCACCATAACATTAATGCAAATTATTAAAAACATTACTGGCAAAATTACTATAGAACTGAACAAAGACTTGTGCCCTATTGAAATTATGCCATTGAAACAGAATAGTACAATCATACTGGATGAAACAAAGCCTGCTGGGTATCTTAGATAATAATGTTAGTTAAGAGAACATTTCATCAAGTAATAATTAATTGATGGATCTAAAGTGTTGAATAACAATCCGTCTTTCATGATCACAGTTCCAACTCAAAGATTTCACAGTAATATCACAGTGTGGTTCATTGTAAATTGTGAAACATATTTCTTTAGTAATAACACACATATAAAAAGCCTAAATATTAGCCTAAGTAGGATAAATTTGTCAATAAATAAACACACCTAACTTACCAACCAGATGCCACAAGCACAAACAGAACAAAATCAATATGTGAACCATTTTCTGTCGAACAGCTCACAGTGCACTTTGAAATATTAACACTGTCTGAACTAGGCACAGTGGAAATGTAGTAGTGGTGCTGGGCAAAAGCCGATAGAGAGAGTGTCAGAGCGCTGTCGCGCTAGCCAGAATGGGGACTTTTATTATGTAACGCGGATAGCCGGAAGAGACACTGTCCATTACTCGGAGATCGGCAGACTGCCTCCGCCGCTGCTAGTGATCGGGTTTTCTGCATAAACGAGTGCTGGAGACATGCATCATTGTTCATATCAGCCTCAGTTTGAATGTATCTTGTGTTGAGTGTGTCCTATACGAGTGAGTACGAATCATTAACTGATTGATGCTTGTTTTATCAATGATGACGCAGTTATTAGCTGTCCGATGTTGCATGGTAATGCTATTATCTACATGCTATTCTTGTAACATATCTGTTTATTCACAATGTTCGGAGTTATAATGTTTATAATGCTATAAGTCATGTGGATAAATAATGATTGTGAATGCACTGTTATACAAAGGGTTTATACATCATTATATTACTGTAAGAGGGGAGCAGCCTATAGTTGTATATGAATAATAATACTTGTAATGGTGGTTTCATTATATTGCTTTTGTTTCTTTCAGAGAAACCACACCCTCCACCACAATCATACATTTCATGCTTCAACTGATAAGCACCCAGCCCTCTCAAGAAGACAATATTCTTTAAAGACTGTGCTTAAGTTTCCCCTCTAACTGGCTCACGCCTCCCATCATTCTCAGCAACCCGTGTATGCTCATTTGCAGTGGTCCCGGAGTCCATCCTCGTCTCTATCACCTAAACCACTTTGTGTCCACTGCAGTCCTCAAGCTTTTGGTCCACATCTTGTTAGTAGACACAGACTCATGTCCATGTAAAGGCTGACTCCCCCTCTGAGTTGATCATATCGCATCTGTGAAAATAAACCTGTTCAAACTGATACTTCCCTCTGTGGTGTTCTGACCGACACACCTGGTTCACTGCGATTCAAACTAGCCCTAACAGTATCAGGTAGCTCTTCGCTACATTTGTGGTCCTTCGAGCCGGATCGTAGTTGTGCTGGGAGTATGCAACAGAGTGATGAAGCATCGTGGGCCCCCTCCACTCGGTCCAAACGTCAGTTAAGACAGCCATCCTATCTGAAGCGTCCAAAGATACGTGGCCCATCACGTGTCAGCCCAGCACCACACCTGCCTAGAGAGGAGAATCGGAGCTCACAGTCTCATGTGAAGTGAAGTAGACCCCCCGAGGCACATGACGATTATTCACCAAGCTCTGAGGAGAGCTATGATGACACAAGCCTAGGATGGCCACCTACCCCTATGCCCTACACTGAGGAGGGAGCTGAGCCAAGTGGGCTACACAGAGAGAGCATGCCGTACAGTTCCGCCTCACCTTATGACACTAGAAGGGAACCGCTTGAACTTTCGGCCTCAGCCAGAGAGTAAGGAGCAGCGCAGCGCGATCAATCCTTTGAGCAATGGCCAATGCCCCCCCTTCCATTACCAGATGACTCGTTAGTGCCAGAGGAAGAGGGGGGTGACGGACACCTGCCCCCTCCGCCATGGCCTTCCTCCGACTACCTTCCAGAGTCGGCAGCTGTCGAGGACCAGCGAGTGGTCATTGCCATAGACCGAATGATGAGTGAGTTACAGCTCATGAGAGACAGTGTGACAGCCAGCATCACAGCCCACACTCGTCCACATGTGACCCTTCGAAGCCTGAACCCCCCTCAACCTAGACGAGGTCCTGGACAGTATGATGCCTTGTCTTCAACCCCGAGACCAGGAACCTGTTCACCCATCTCACGTCCGCAACCCAGTATGTATCACACTAATGCAGGATGCTTAACTCAGCATCCAGTTAGGCCTGATATGAGCCGACTGCATGCCGCCAGAGGCAGACAGTTCTCGTCAGTATCCGCGAATCAGAGAAGAGGAGTGTATATATGGCCGGTGCCGAAAATTCCTCTGTTTATCCATAACGACCCAATGGAGTTTTCTCTGCTAAAATTAGCTCTGTCAAACCTGCTACCCACAGATACTAAAGAGCTTTTCAAGTATCAGATTCTTGTGGACCATGTGAAACTTGAAGAGGCCTGTCTCATTGCCGACTCCTTCATTAACTCACCTAGGCCATACACGGACACCATGGCAGCCTTGACTGAGAAGTTTGGCCAGCCGCACCACGTAGCCTTGACTTGGATTGCTGCAGTGATGGATTCGCCTGAGATTAAGAGAGGAGATATAGCAGCCTTCGAGAAATTCTCTCTGCACGTACAGTCATTTGTAGTTATGCTGCAGACATTAGGCCCAGACGGAGAAGTCGAGCTGAGATGCAGCTCACATGTGGCCCGTCTCCTTACCAAGCTTCCAACTGAGATGAGAGTGAACTTCAGGCGTATGATGTTCCACCGTCCTGGACCCACTCATACGCTGCTCGACCTGGCAGAATGGCTTCGATATGAGTCGTGGTGTCAAGGATATGACAACCCATCTGACATCCGCACCCCAGGGCTGTCCGGCTACCGAGCTGAGAAGCGACGAAGCAAGCCCGTAGCTACGGTCCTACATGGGGCTGAGAGCAACACGTCGAACCAAGCAACTAGACAAGAAGGTCAGAGTTCATCCGCGCTGAGATGGAAAGGCAAAGGGAAACCCTACTCTCCGTATTGCGAGGGTACAGAGCACTTCCTCAATAAGTCTCCGGCTATTCAGAGACTCACCCGAGAGGAGGTCATAGAGTGGATCAAAGTCAACAAGAGATGCTGGAGATGCGGGAGAGCACATCAAGCAGCGCAATGTGACCTCAAGAGGCTCTGTGATGTGTGCCAAGGAAAGCATCTAAGGGTACTGCGTGATGTCAACGCACGCCCCAAAGCTGAGCAACCGAAAGCTGAAAGCTGTCTTGTAAGCACATTACGGAAGTTCTGTACCTAGACAGACCATCGTCCCATGCCCGGGTACTGTTGAAAGTCATCAGAGTTCTCCTGCGCAACAGAGACAGGACACTAGACACTTATACGATTTTGGACGATGGATCGGAGCGGACAATGCTCCTCCCTGAGGCAGTTGACAAACTGGGCCTGCATAAGAAGCCTGAAGATCTCGCTCTCCGCACAATTCCACAGGAAGTTCAAACCCTGAAGGGAGCCGCTGTTTCATTCAAAATCTCATCCCCAACTAATCCCAAAAGAACTTTCCAGATAGTGGAGGCCTTCACTTCACAACACTTGGGTCTGGCAGACCACTCCTACCCCATCGCCAGTCTGAAGAGGAGGTACAAACACCTAGCAGAACTCCCCCTTGAGCCATTTGAACATGTCAAGCCGCTCGTGCTGATTGGTGCAGACTACCCCCATCTACTTACCCCTGTCGAGCCGGTGAGACTGGGCCCTCCTGGAGGTCCGGTGGCCATTCGCACGAGGCTGGGATGGACGCTCCAAGGACCTGCACACCTTACCCAGTGGACCCCGAGTATCCAGCAGTGTCTCCTCACTGGGGTCTCATTCCAGACGACAGAGCTGATGCAGAACGTGGAGAAGCTCTGGAAGATGGACATCCTGCCATACCAGAGTAGCAAACTGGCAGTGAGATCAAAGCAGGATAAGGAAGCGCTGGAGCACTTGGAGGCCAGGACGAGGCGAGTACAGGTTGCAGGTATCCTTAGATATGCCATGCCCCTGCTAAGGAAGCAAGGCGTTCCCCCACTCAGAGCTCCCAAGGAAGCCGTCCTACCCAGCCTCAGGAGTCTAGAGAGACGCTTGGCCCGGGATCCTCTACAAGCTGAAGAGTACTGTGCAGCGATTCGGAAGTTGTTGGAAGTAGGCGCGATCAGGAGGATAGACCCAGGCAAAGCCTTAGCCACCAATGAGTCATGGTACATACCGCATCACTTAGTAAGTCATAACGAGAAAAGTCGTTTGGTCTTCAACTGCTCTTTTCAATTCCAAGGCCGAAGCCTCAATGACACCCTCCTTCCTGGAACAACTCTGGGAGCCTCTCTTCTGGGAGTTTTATTACGCTTCAGGGAACATGCGGTGGCAGTTAGTGGAGACATCAGAGGCATGTTCCACCAGGTTCAGCTCTTAC